CTAGATTCTTAATACATGATGTGATAAGATTACATTTTGATGTTTTGTAGGATCGAAGAAAAGAGAGGAAGCTTAAGGGAAGAAGTGAGTTGAATCTAATCGTGAAGAAATGGATTTCGATCGCATTACTTGAAGATTGGATTCTTGAGTTACTACTTGGAGTTCGAATATATTGTTAAGAAATATGTAATAACATAGTTTTCAATTGAATTGCATTGTAAGGACAAATTTTTTTCCTCAATAAAATGAATTTTGATTTTCCGCACTTGGATCAGCAAGAGTCACAAGGTTACTAAGACACTAGTAATTGAATTCGTTTTTTCATGTATATCATTACCATCATTTCGGTATTGAAAAAGAAGACGAATGTTATTCCGACGGTTTTAGTGATATCGAACCGAGTCTGACTAATCTACCAATTAAGTTCGACGTAGCGTCCGACTTTAGATTGAAGGAAAAAATAATCAAAGTGATCATTATAATTATAGCAATCGTCGTTAAAATTAAGAAGTCTGTAGCTAGAAGTGCTACATGCTAGAATGTGATTATATCACATTAGAACAAGACACATCGGTCTGTTACGGTAGTCCAAGTAAAGACCTTATCTTCGGTTAATTCTATTCTAGAAGGAGCAGGAGTCTCTGATGAAGATCAAATTTAGAATGAAGAGCAGGTGCAAGATTGAGAACCACCAGCAGTAAAGAAGTCCAAGAGTTAGAAACTCATTTGAAAAGATATAAGAGTGACAATTATTACCAAGAATGGAAAGTTAACGTGTTGAGTCATTATACAAGCCCTGGTTTGCTGATGATTCCAGGACGTAATCATTCTAAGGGGGCGATAATTGTAACACACACAGATTTGAGCTAGACAAATAAGCAATAAAGTGATTTTTTATAGAAGATTATTTAGGATAAATAATCTTAACTAATATTATAGTATATGTGACAAGGAATTCAAACACATAAAGAACGTTGAAATCTGACTGCATATGAAGAAGTTATGTTTTTCGAAGTTTCACAGTTAAACCAACACGACTTTAAGTATCGTAAAAAGTGAATTTTTGATAGATTATTTATTCTCCCAAGTGATCTAAATGAAAGCCGTAGTAATGATAAAATTGAGAGTGTGCATATAGGGAACGTCCAAATCTAACTTCGTATGAGGAGGTTATGGATTTTTGAAGTTTCATCGCAACCGTGTAAGCATAGAAATTGAATTTTAGATCAAATGATTTTTAGCAAAAATGATCCAAATGAGAATCGATGATCTAATTAATAAGAGTCCTTCAATATAAAGACAGTCAAGAACAGACGTCATACGAGAGAGTTATGAATTTTTAATGGACTTTAACAGTCTAAACTTGTTAAAAATATAACTTTAAAAATAAAATCAAAATTAACCAACATTGTTTAAATGAAAGTTGTGGATCTTCTCGATAGCTACGCGTGGATATAAAATACGTTGAAAACGGAGCTCGTGTAAAGAAAATATGTATTTTTAAAGAAAATAGAATTTTTTGTTCGCAGCCATGCTCACAAACAACATCTAACTTTCAATGAGATGCCGACGTGTGTCACCACTCGACAGCTGCCACATCACCCCTTCTGACAAAAGGCATGGTGTGTACCCGACCATTGGCATGACGTGCACAGTGTTCCACCATATAAATTCCCTCTAAAATTACTAATTTCTCACACAAATCTTCCAAAAGTCTCCCAAACAACCCTAAGTGTTTAAAGCGCCATTTTTAGTAACTTTTGAGTGGCAATATAAAGGCTATGGAACATCCAAGAACCCAGCGAAATAGAAGCTTTCGGTATCAGAAATCTATATGCATAATTCTTGGTTTTCGCTTAAATCTTTGTAAGTTAAGCTACATTCATATTTCTTTCATTGTAACTTATATTTATGTTCATAGTCGTTATTATGAAGCTATAAATAAGATTTATCAGTAATTACAAGTCGTTATAGTGATTGGTCTACTTACTGGGGTGATGTCTAGGTTGGATTTAGTGACGTGTTTAAAGTGGGATTTCCAAAAATATACTCTGTATACCAAACGAACGCTACCTCCGACATGATCCTACCTGGTTGTTCGTTACTTCATATATCTTGATGTAGACATTGGAATTAGTGAGGAATCTAAACTATCTTTAGTCGCCAAGAATATAAGACTAAGATTTAGTGGTATGAACCTAGGTCACATCAAAAGAAAAGCTATATACCAAAGCGAACCGCTGTTCAACATTCAAGTCACTCACGTAAGTCAAGTGAGTGCATAGTTACTTTCATCTTACACATAGATACGATGTATTTTTATAATTGAATGTTATATGTTATTATATGCAAAAATGTTATGTGTAAGATGAAATAACATAAGATGATTTTTATGCAATTTACTATATATGTATTTTCTTATACATAACATATTGGGTAGTGATGGGTAATGATGGAGGAATAGAATAATGAGGAATATGGATGATGAGAGATGAAAATAATTATAAAAATCCTTAACTTACTAGGACTGTTGTGATAAGCGATGTAGTCATCTAACATAGTATAGATGACGACCACCAGACACTTTGATGATAGTCCTGTGGACAGTAAGTTTATAACCTGTAGGTGATGGACCTTGTGCCCATTTGATGTACTCTACTTCGTGCTAACACATACTGTAGAGAAATCATTGTAAAAGTATTTTTAGCAATGATGATTAAAATGATCCTTAGGACAGACCCTTAGGAAAAAAAATATAAAGAAAATAGGGATGGGTAGTCGAGTTAGTTGTTTGATAATTAAACATATTAGCTATATTATTATGGGTTTAAAACCCCGTGTACTCACCAGAATTTGCAACCTGACCCACTCGGCTTCTCTGTATCATAGGTTACTGAATAAATATACATGAATAATGAATGATTCAAGTAGACGTAGACTAATAGTCTCAGATAATGTAAGTCCAATTTATGCTTATGTTACGTGTCAGTTATGATATCCCAAGTTGTTATAAATCATTGAAAAACATTTCTTCGAAAATACATTTACGGGACCAAGTTCCACAAAATAAAGAATACTCTGTTTTAAAATAAGCATAAATAAAAATGTATTTTCTGACCATGAAAATGGGTATGCCACAAACCTAGATCTAGAAACATAGGACAATAAAGCTTGGAACTTGAACACCTACAAAGGTCCAAAATATGAGATAGAAGATGATGATAAGACTTGAAAGCTAGATCTTTAAACCAAGAATGCCTCCTCCTTCAATACACCAAGAATACCAAAAAAAGTTTAACATCTTCAAAAATGTAGGCTAAGGATTCTTTTATGGAAAACTAGAGGTAATGGAGTCTGAGGGTGTGAAAATCCTAGTCGTCACATCCCTTAAATAAGGCTCAAAACCCAGAAAATTATGGTTTTCCCATGCCCAAATGTCATGTTGTGACATCTAAATGAGATACGCTTCTCATGCATCCATGTCATGTCATGGTGATACATTCTGAACGTCATGACCAACAAAAAACTCATAGATTGCTCTAAATTTCATACCTCGAAGATTCAGATTGATATTGTCATATTTATACATAGTTTTAGGCAATATTGATCTACATTTTATTTAATATTTTTGTTATTTGCAAAGAATTATGGTACTTATGAGGATAAAATGTTATTTGCAGCCAAAATAAAGCATTTTAGAAGAAAGGGACCAGAAGTGACAATTTATGGAACATTTGAGGGTGGAAGCATAAAAGATGAACTAATTCACGGAATATACTGGGGTCACGACGTGAACTTGATGGCCACGACGTGGAATCGATCTTTCCAGAAGATAAGTACGCGAAGAAAGAATCCTTGGCGAATACGGATAATTCCTGAAGTCACGTCGTGGAGCTTCCTGCCACAACGTGGAACGTGATTTTCCAAAAACTATATAAACCCCTCTCCGTTACGAATTGGAGACTTTTGGCTGAAGGAAGAGGTTCCAGGAGGCGATTTACAGCAGAAGTAAGGTTCTGGAAAAAGGGTTTTCAACACCAAAAGAGTAAAAGTCCATAATTAGTTTACTTGTTTGATACTTATGAACATCTTTTCTTATTTAAGTTGTGTTTATGTGTTAGTTGCTATTATGAGCAGCTGAATCTAGCTACTCTTATCTAGCTAGATGAAGCTTTTAACTTATGAATGACATAATTTTATATGGATTTATTTAGTTGGTGATTGGCTTGTGTTTGATTTATTGTTACCTAGCATGCTTATGTTGTTGCTTTAGTTGCTTAAATTCATGTTATATGTAGCTTAGTGACCATTAACTGCATGAACTTGATAACCTAGTAATTTAGTGAACATTGAATTGCTAGAGCTAGGATCAACCAAAATCTTAGTTAGTAATTGACGTAATTAACTTTGCTGTGCTAGAGAACATAGATTATGACCATAATTGTGTTTGCATGATAAATCTTACATAGCATATTCATAAGCATAATTGGTTCTGTGTTTAATTGTGTGTGACCATAAATAGTTATACATGAATTAATTAACTATTGGTAAATTTAGACCTAAATTACTAATATATTAACAACAAACTTAATAATCCATAATTATTAGCTAGCCATAAGGACGAAGTGGATTCGAACTAGATAAGAGTGTTTTTAATTATTGATTGAATTTGAGTTAAGTTAGTTTGATCTTGCAAAATCAGATAAAAACCCCTTTTAGCTTTAAAATAATTAGATTAATTTAATACATAGTAAATAGATTAATTAATAACACCGTTCCCTGTGATCGACACCTGACTTACCCAAGCTATACTGTAATCTAACTAGGTACACTGCCTACAAGTGCATAGTTAGTCTAAGTTTGTTAGGTTATAAATATTAAAATTAGTGGGTACTTCCGTGCACATCACAAATGTTATAATGTTCTTGAAGAATCCGACTAACGATACTTTGAAAATTTAGATACTCACATTGATACCGTGAACAAAGTGCCGAAAGTCCATGATGACTTGGGTGTCTGAACCAAACGAACTTATCAAACAAACCCATATTTTCCATGAGAATCTTACCAAGATTGTCAATGTAAGTTTTCAAAAAGTCTTTGCCAAACTCGAAGATCTTCAAGAAGAATTTGCGCTTGCATCCAAAGCTAGGCCCTTGGTTGCAAAAGGGGGAGAAGGAGTTAGTACTAGTGGTTATCAACTGAGACAATGGCAACCAAGTCAAGTCTTTCAGCTTAGAGACAAAACACCAATAACAAAGAGATTGATGAAGAGGATGATGACATGCTTGATGGTGTCAAAGTGATCCTAGCTCTCCAAGTTAAAAAAAAAAAAAAAAAAAAAAAAAAAAAAAAAAAAAAAACCCTCTTTCAAAAAAATCATCTCTGAAGAAGAAAAACTAAAATGGTTCAAATGGCCATTTATGAAAGATAATCAAGTAAACCGGAGCTCGGAATTAACCAAAATGAAGACAAAGCTCACTGTCGATGACTTCAGAGTTTCTCAGCCTAGTTCCCCTCCAAAATTCAATCCCATAATAGAGCTCGTTGATGAAGGCTATCTGATAAAAAAAAGATGATGATGAATTACCTGCCCTAGAGATAACATTTCCTAGTTTCAAGGAACTCATTACTCCAACTACTCAACAACTCATCAACATTGACATGTGATGCTAGTCTCAAGATGAAATCCACAAGACACTTGAATAAAGTATTTATATACAAGCTCAAAAGGAATATCCAAATCCTACGTCATGTATCTCACCTCTTCATCCTGATGGAAGACTACACCAACATCATTTTGTTCTGTTCATCAACTATGCTTTCCCTGCCTCTGACTCAGGACAACTTGATTTGTCCATCTCTCCATATGGTTAATACTATGTAAAATTCCTTCCACTCTATCCTTCCAATAATCGAGAAACTCAAATCTAAATCGAAAGGGAAAGAATTAGTACATTCTACACCAAGAATACTCTATCGATCAAAGGCACATGGTAAAAGTGAAGAATCATAAACATCAGTGGTTATGGAAAGCTTTTTCAAAACAAATTCGGACTTAACTGCATGCTCCATTATGTTAATACAACTCTTAACTCTCAAAAAAATCATCAAGATCCTTATGTTGATTATCTATCCATCAATTTGTATGACATTTGTAACATCCGGTTTTCTAGGTATATTATTCTTAAAATTTTTAATTTAAGAATCTTGGAGGGACTCGACGAGTGGGTACCTCAACTCGTTGAGTGGGGTCGCGGCTTGGTGACTTGTTTAATGAATGGACTCGATGAGTCGGGTATCTGACTCGCCGAGTCAGCGCTGCTGAGGAAAACCCTAATTGCCCGGCTTTGTGACCTATTTAAAGGCTCTTATGGCCTTCATTTGCGGCCACACTTCCCCTTGATAGACCCCAAATCGATCCAGAGAGCTTAGAGAGATAGAGGGAGCTAATTGCTTCATTTTGGTGCATTCTTGCAAGGAAGAAGGAGAAGGTTCAAGCCTGACTGACTTGAGGGGCTCAGATCTTCCATTATTTCATTCAAGGCTACTGTTGGAGGTATGAATCCATACATGTTTTCATATGATTAGTATATCTCATGAATTTAGGGCTTCTTTACCCTCTTTTAAGTTGAGATATAAAGCATGTGAAGTCCCGTTGAGGCTTAGACATCAGATCTGGACCTTAAGAGGTCCAGAGAGTCCCAAGAACCCAACTTTATGCAGTTACATAAGAATATTGAACCAAAGACACCATTTTGAGGGTTATTTTGTCAATTAGAGATAGATGAGTGATGCATGGACATAAAGGTCGAACCTTTACGTGATTAATGAGCCTTGAGTGCATAGATCTGAAGTTTGGGAAAGTATCTTGCACTAAAATGGTTGAATGCAAAAGAGTCTGAATAGACTCGCCGAGTCGAGCCGCTGACTCGACGAGTAGCCTGGGATTTTATCCCGATGAACTGAGTCTGGTGGTGACCCGACGAGTTAGGGGTTAGCTCTTCGAGTTGGAGCTTACTGGGGTTGCCATGAATCGAATGGACTCGACGAGTCGCCCGAGTGCACTAGACAAGTCTGGTCAAAAGATGGAATGTTGACTGGAGTTGACGTTTGTTGACCTTAGAGTTTGGTCAAGATGAGTGTAAGAGGTCAGGAAGGGTATAATGGTCTTTTACCCTTCCGAGAGAGATAATAGGAAGGGAATAGTCTAGCCTTTGATAGCCATTGTTAACTAGAGGTAATTTATGTATGTGATTAGGCGAAGGCTAGATCAGTGTTTCGAGTACGAGATCATCTGAGTTTATCCGAGGTGAGTCATCTCACTATACATTACCTAGGGTGGTATCTATGTGTGGAACAAAAGGTCATACGTGTTTTCTTGAGATTACGTATATTGTGATTTATGTATGCTATGTGCTATTCTGACCGGACTGGAGGGTCCAATGATTTATGAGGCCGGAGAGTCCTCAACCAGACCGGACCGGAGGGTCCAACGAGATAGACCGGGCCAAAGGGTCCAACGAGCTATGGAACTAGAGGGTCCTGCTGAGACACAGTGACCAGAGGGTCGTACAGAGTATAACCTTGAGTGGCGAATTGTTGTATGTGGTATTTTGGGGAACTCACTAAGCATTCATGCTTACCGTGTTATGTGTTATGTGTTTCAGGTACCCCAGAGGATCGCAGCAAGGCGCCGGCGTAATTGTACACACACTCTTAATATGGATCTATGTTTGTGGATCCTGGATTTGACTTGTTGTTTTGAAAACTTTGTTGATGGATATTTTTATTTTGTTAATGAGACACGTGTTTTATGATTGTTAAAAATAAAAAAATTTGTGTGAAATTTTTGGTTGTTACAAGTTGGTATCAGAGCCTTGGTTTGAGGGATTCGGATACACCTTTCGGCATATCTGAACTCAAACTAAGTATTTGAGAAATGTTTTCAAAAAGAAACAATTTTTCTAAAAAGAGTGAAAGATTCTACAAAGAGCAGAAAAGAGCAGTGTGTATAATCAGCCAACGCCCGAACGGTGATTTCCCAAAATACTCTTACTTTATGTGTTATGAGATAATATGATATATGATATGCATGTTAGAGAGTAGGCTAGGTACTTCATAATCTAGGACTAGAGTGGCCTGATTTGTGATGCCTTAGCCTAGGAGTTACTGCTACTGTGAATTTCTTCGAGTGTGGGTAGGTAGCAGAGAGGAGTTTATGAGAGGTATACTAGGGTGTAGCTTGTATTCAGTGAGACATAGAGCGCTTGTGAATTGGGACCCTAGGAGGAGGACTTGGGGTGTAAACTGATGTGGTGTGGAAGGTAGTATAGGGCCCGTACTACTGGAGACATCAGATCAGTAAGAAGTCCAAGTAAGAGTCCTTAGGGTACCAAGAAACGAGTAATTGTGAGTGATCGAGTGAGGGTGATGTCGATCAAGTCTCTAATTATTTTATCTTGTGTTTCAGAGACATCATGGTGGTTACGCGCCACAACGACTGAGGCAGTGGTACTAGTGGTACCAGTGATGAGGAAATTCGTAGGATGATTCATGAGGAGGTGCCGCAGCCATTCGAGCTGAGATACCAGAGATGTTTGGGTCTATTAAGACCACGCTGATTGAGATATTTGACGTGCGATATGCTGCTCTTACTGAGGCTGTTGTTGTTGCAGCCACCGCAGTCGTCGCCTCTGCTAGGCCACGGGGCGGTGAATCGTTGTTGTACCGAGAGTTCAGCAACACAAAGCCACCAAAGTTTGACGGGACGCAGGACCTGATTGCTGTTATAAGATGGATCTCTAACATTGAGGGGTGTTTCCACACTTGTTCCTGCCCAAAACATTTGAGAGTATGGTTCGCGCTGAACCAACTTCACTTGGGAGCGGAGGACTGGTGGAAGTTTGTTACAGTTGACTTTACTACTGCAGAGCTTACAGCGGTGACCTGGGAGAGATTCACTGCTATGTTCTGAGACAAGTACGTTCCTCCGGTGGAGAGGGAACGGTTAGCCCAGGAGTTCTTGTCCCTCAAGCAGGGGACTGAGTCTGTGACTATGATCACCCGGATGTTTCATGAGAGGGCGTTGTTTTTCCCTGAGCACGTGTCTACTGAGCAGGCACGTATGAATCGACATCTGAGCATACTGAGGAGAGATATTCGTGAGTTCGTGGCGAAATCGACATACCGAACATTTTCCAAGCTCCAAGAAAATGCTCGGAAGAGGGAGATTGAGCTAGAGACTCAGGTCAGGGAGGTGGCAGAGTCTCAGAGGAGGGATAGGCAGCCAGCATAGTGTCAGCCAGCGGCAAAGCGGGCAAATCCCATTGATTCGAGATTGGGGATCAGAAGGGCCGCACTTGTGGGAAGTGCGGCAAGATCCATGATGGGGTGTGTAGAGCAGGTGTGTGTTACAAGTGCTGGAAGGAGGGGCATATCGTGAGGGATTGCCCCAAGGGATTTTCGGTTTGCTTCCATTGCAACCAGACTGGCCATAGGAAGGCCGAGTGCCCGCAATTACTTCAGGTATCAGCGCAAGGATCTGCGCCTTCTACTACTCGAGTTACAGAAAGTCGGCCAGTGAAGGCCGAGGCACCGAAGGCTCGCGTTAGAGCCTTCCAGTTGATAGCGGAGGAGGTCTGCGCAGCACCCAACATTGTGCCTGGTATGGGATCTTTTGTTTATTCTTTTGTTTATATTTGGTGCTTAATTGTGATGTGTTTAGGTACTTTTCTTGTGAGTTCTGTACGTGCTTTGGTGTTGTTTGACTCGGGTGCGAGTCGGTCCTTCGTATCGCTAGCATTTAGTCGTCACATCAGCATCCGATGAGAGGCGTTGAGTCGACCTTTGAGAGTCTCCATATCTAATGAGCATGTTGTTTTTCCGACTTATATGATCCGGGATTGTGTTCTTGAGATTTTTGGAGTCGAGTTTCCGATAGATTTGGTACCTATCGGGATGGGTGATGGCTGTGTCATCGTGGGCATGAACTGGTTGAGTCGATTCAGAGATATGATCGACTGTGAGTGGTAGCTGGTGACCATCCAAAACCCTAGTGGAGGAGTGCTTACAGTATACGGCGAAGGTACCCGGTATGGGTCAGCATTTTGTTCGGTTGCTCGAGCGAGGCAGAGCTTGCAGCAGGGTTGCATAGGTTTTCTGGCGTATGTGGCGGATACGCGGGATGTTACTGAGAGACCGAGTTCTGTCGCTGAGGTTACGGTAATGAGTGAGTTTCCGGACATTTTCCCCACAGAGTTACCAGGTGTGCCTCCTGAGAGGCAGGTGGAGTTTCGTATTAATT